TGGTAGGAGATGTGACGATCCTGGCCAACCGTTCGAAGTTTGTAGATTTCACAGTACCATATATTGCATCAGGTGTTAAAATGGTAGTACCAGTTAAACACGGGAGGGATCAAACCATGTGGACTTTTGTTAAACCCTTCAGTTGGGATCTTTGGCTGAGCATAATCATCATCTCTACCTTCATAGGGCTTGCCATACTCATCATGGAAAGAAACGTGAACGCTCTGCCTAATCAAGAGGGTTCTCCAAATCAAAAAAAGCTTTGCCCTGCAACCATCTTGTGGTTTCCATTATCACAAGCCATTCTTCCTGAAAGTAATTACACATACGCTGTTGATTGATGCTTCAGTTTTATATAATTTATATATGGGATTAATTATCTTTGTTGGTTTCAAAATTTGAGATTTTCAGGAGAAGTAGTGGTAAAGAGCTGCTCAAGATTTGTGCTGATGGTTTGGCTTCTACTGGCGTTCGTCCTCATGCAAAGTTACACTGCTAACTTGACTTCTATATTGACCTTAGATCAACTGCGACCCAGTTTTCTGAACCTTAATGATATAAGGAGAAGGGGTTACTACGTTGGATACCAGTCTGAGTCTTTTGTTTACGATGTCTTGATTGACCAATTTAAGTTTGACCCATCCAAACTAAGGCCGTACAGAAACATTGCCGAGTACCATGATGCTCTAGAGCTTGGAAGCCAAAATGGGGGTGTTGCAGCTATATTCGACGAAGTTCCCTACCTTAAAATTTACCTTCAAGAATACGGATCCAATTACGTTATGTCTGGCCCCGAATATAGAAATGCTGGGTTTGGTTTTGTAAGTCTCTCTTTTCTAATTCTCTCATTCTTGGACAAGCTTGTGCTTCGGTTCTTTTTCTTTAATTTGTTATATTTTTTGTTGTCGTTGTAAAACTAATAAGACTAAACACATAATAATACAGAAGTCATAATTAACTCGTCTATGCAAAATCTGACTGTGTCTTGGGTGAAGTAATTTAGTTAACTTCAAATAACAAGTTATTAATCAAATGCGAATTATATAGAGTGCACTTATTGTATGTGTTATTTATGTTATATTTCCAGGTATTCCCGTTAAATTCCAATCTCACGGCTTACTTTTCGACAGCAATCCTGGATGTGATTGAAAGTGGAATAATGAATGAGATTGAGGAAAAATATTTTGGAAAGAATTATATTGGAGGAGAAGTTTCGTCTGGAGAAATATCTTCTGAAACTCTCAGTCTCAGCTTTCATAGCTTCTCTGGGCTTTTCTTTATTTCTGGGATTTCTACTTTGTTAGCGTTATTGGTTTCAGAAAGATTTATTTGGCAAAGGCTCATTTTGATGGCTAAAGCATTGACTGAGATTATGTCCCCAATTCCTCTTTTCAAGAAGAAAACACGTACTCATCCAATTCATGATTCTACTCATGGAACGGAGGCTTAAGACCTTGTCGAAGATAGATTCCTACATTCGGATGTGTCTGCCTGAAATTGAACATTTGTTATGCTATATTAAATTGGGAAAAAATACAGCTTTGAAGATAGACAAAATAGATTTTATGTTTAATTTGTAAAAAAATAAGATAAAACTTGAATGTGTATAACACTCTCTATGTAAGGCTGACATTTTTGTTCTTGTATTTATTGAAAAGTAAAATAGATACATAAAAAAATGCATATCAAAATGGATATACTATTATTGTAAACCTTCACTAAGTCTAATATATTTTGTGTTTGAACCCTGCTAATGTATATATTTTTTTTCATTGCAAATATTTATATAAATATATATTTTTCATTTTCTTCTAGTTTTTAATAATATTTTTTTTGGTGGTAATAATTCTTATATTAACCAATATATATATTGAACATCGATATGAATTAAATCAAAATAAGTAAAACCTATACAGGATAAATTATTAATGATTCATAAAAGAATACAATGAAAAACAAAATTGAAAAGACAGCATATATTCTTTCATCAGTCATAATAAAAAATATCAAACTCAAAGTATGTTATTAATCTTATACTATAATTTAAAATATATTAGATCCAGTCAATTGTGAGTAGAAAGTCATGTATCCATGACTCAAGATATTAAAGGATTAAACTACTACAAACAAAAATACAAAACTAATTAAACACTAGATACAACCTTTGTTATCATTGTCATAAATACAAGAAAAACAAGTCCAGACAGAACACAATCAAAGTTGGTGATGATAGCGACAATTTAATCAATTTTGATTCGTTAGGTTAGTCTTAAATTTCCTATTATCTAAACATACTTTTAGTCATATTTAATATAGCACTATAATAAAATATATATTGCCCATAGAATTTTATGAATGAAAACAATTTATAGATAAACAGGATTAATTGGTACGGGTAAGTTAGGTTTCACTAATGGTAAATGTGAATGAGTTGTGTCCAAAAAATCATCGGCCTTTGGTTTGAGTTGTATTTATCTCAATCTTGTTTGGGTTAATTTATCTTGACATTTGGCTCGTGTTGATTTGTTTCTACTTTCAAATCATCATATTGACTCGTCATAAGATTTCACTAGTGATTTTCAGTCTATGTTAACTTGTCCATACCTCTAGATTATATTGACCAGGCTCAATCTTCGGTTTAAGTATTGACTCAGGTCGAACTGTCTTGATTGTAAATCTAGATTGATTAATTTTAACTTTCTGTTTGGATTGACTCTTCTCAATCTTTTGACTAAACCGATTCTATTCGACTATAAATCAACAACTATTGACTTTTAATCTAGCTCAACCTTCATCCGATATTAGTATAATAAAAAATGAATTTTTTTTGTTAGTGTAATAATAATAAAGATTCAATTTTAATGATTTAAATAGAGCAAAGACAAAATTATCTATCACTATTTTAAAATGACAGAAAAAAAAGGTGGAAAATATATTTACTAAAAAAAATTAAGCTGTTAGAAATATAAAAATAATATATGTTTTGTTGTTGAATGGCAAATTAATACACAAACGGATGACGTTTAGTTACCTTTAAAAATAATAAATAAAAATAAATAAATCTGAGTCTGAATAATTATTTACTCAATATGTGATAAGAAGAGAAAAAGAAAGAGGGTTGAAGAAATAAAAACATATAAAAAAACACTTGCATAATTAAATTAAAGAGAAGAAGTATGATTAAGAATTGGTCAACGAAAGCGCAATCTAGAAGGTTTAAGCTCGTTTAACAATCTGGAAAGTGAAATTTTGAAATGAGACAGACTTTTTACTTTACCAACGCAATTTCGATCTCTATGTTTATATATATTACGTACCCATTTTAATTTTTTTTTCATGAAATTCATTAAAATATCAATAATTTCTATAGATTTATATATATATATATATATATATATATATATATATATATATATATAGGATTTGATTAATAGAAACTATTAGAAAGAAGCAATAAAACTTCAGTGATTTAGATTGATTTTTCTTCCTCAAGAAAAAATATAAAATTTTGATTTGATGATTTCTTTTGTTGACTATTCGAACCGCGTACGAAAGTTTGACATTGATTTTGTACATCACCATTTTTGCACCACGACTTAACTGGACAGAAATTGGTTCTTGCTAAGCCAATCATAAGAACTACAGTTAAGTATATAAGATTTATGAATATTTTCGGTAAAATTTATATGACGTTTCCTACACACATCATTTCACACTATTATTAAATTAATATCTTTCTAGACTCTTTTGAGTTTCAACAATAACTCGAACTCAAAGCTATATTATTAAAAAACTGTCTTCATTTCTCATTTGAATAAATTTCTTCGACTTTAAATAACTTGAGTTTGTAGACCAACATTAAAATAATATTTTTATTGATAAACAACCTTCATGAACACCCTTAACTTTTTCTCAATTGAAAGTTATTTAATAATCTTCTTCGTAATACGCAAATATGACTATGACGCGGCTTTAGATAGATTTTAGTTTAAGTATTGGTAAAAGAGAAAAATATGTAAAAAATTAAATTAAATAATTTTATCTATAGTCTAGTTTTAGCTTAAAGAAAACAATATTTTATTTTTACGTTTTCATAAAAATTTATAGAAATTATACCAGAAAATTTCTATAAATCTAGTTCTGTAAATACCATAATATAAATTGACATCTTAAATATTACATTCCTGCCAAATAAATTCCTTTCGACCGCATAATTTTCAGACAACCCGACAATAGCTAGCTTCAAAGATCATGGAAAATGGATAGGTCATTAGTCAAAAAAAAAATCCACAAATTTTCCATACAAATATAATGGAGAGCCAATGCTCAGATTACATATACATATGCCTTCCATGACTACCGCCAGCTATGGAAACCATCAAAGAATTATGCTCACTAAGCATAAACAAGATTTTAATAAAACAAAAAGACTTATTTTATACAACAGCAAACTTTCCATGTATCGGACAGCCCATTCTTAAGATTGCATATAATATAAAAGCCTTTCATGAATTACAGCTGTGGAAAAGTCAACCACCTAAGAATTACTTTTTCCCACTGATAACAAGTGACTGGAAAGGCTCCCTCTTTATATCCACGAATGTGGTGAACTCCTTGCTCAATGGCTGCTTTCAGGTTCTCCCTCCATTTGCATATAGGCATTTTTCCACCGTCCACCTCTCACTTCCAATCGTATAGCTGAAGCCTAAAAGATATAAATAGAATTGAACAATCATAAAAATCCAGTGGTGGTGTATTATCACTGACAAAGACAATATCAAGAATAAGGGAGACCAAGACTTGCCGAACAAATTCCATACAAAGAAAAGAGAACGAACCCCCTCTACTCTGGCAGATGGAAAAAAGGTTTTTCACTTGTCAAATTTAAGTTGAAAGTAAAAAATTAGAATTTAGTGCTAAACACAAGATACAAGTCGTATAAGAAATCAGGCCGCATCATTCAATAGTCAATTCCAGTAGATATTTATAAATTTTTAATTTGATAATTTATAATGTTAAAAAATAATTTACATGATTTTATCAAATTTAATAAACAATGAAAAAATAAAAATATATGTATGAGTGTATAAAATTCGAAAGGAGCGTTTCAGATCTCGATATCTGATTCTGTCTGTATCGGATGTGACCAAAAAAATTTGTTTTTCACAGTTCAAAATCGGATGCATACATTTTAAAATTTCTGTTTCTCACGTGCAGATGTAAAGTATTTTTTTAATATATTATTTACTGTTTCATTACATTACTTTAATGTATTATTTACTGTTTCATTACATGACATGATTTTTAAAATTTCTGTTTTGCATGTCCAAATTTCTGTAAAATGTTTAATTATATTATTTACAAATGTTTAATGAAATAATTTTAAAATTTGTTATATTATTTTAAAAGGTTTAATTATATTATTTATACGGTAAAAGTTTGTTTTTTTAAAATCTTTTATTATATTATTTTAAAATTTAAAAGTTTGTTTATTTTGAATGTAAAAGTTTATTAGATTAATTTAAAATGTTTAATTATATTATTTATACATTTTTAAATAGATAACTTGTATACAAGTATGAATATTTTAAGTTTATTAAAAATATAAATTTATTTAAAATTCATATCAAAAAATTATAAAAATTATTATGTAGTTTTAAGTATTATTATATTTTGGTGTTTTTATTTTTAAGTTTATTAGATTATTGTTTTGATTTTATAATTTAATTATAAATGTTTAATTTATTCTATTAGTTTTTAATTTTGTTAAAATTTTGTTATAAAATAAATTGTATGAATTTTTTTAATTTATTTAAAGAAAATTGGTATGTAAAATTGATATGAAAAATTTGAATGAGTTTTAGGTACTATTATGTATTATTATTTTGGTGTTTATTTTTAAGTTTATTAGATTATTTATAATTTATAATTTATTGTATTAGTTTATGATTTAATTATAAATGTTGAATATATTGTATTACTTTTTGATTTTATTTTTTGTATGATAAAAGAGGAGAGGAAGCTCTATGTGTGCTAGAAACCAGAGAATGCAAGAGGAGAGGAAGAGAGAAGCCAGAATAGAGAGAAACAATTAGATCAGAGAGAAATATGTGTCCATAAATTTGCACTTGGCACTGAAAAAGTTGTTTTCAAAGAAATCTTTGACCATTCCTTTTTTTTAAATATTGAATAGTTTTAAATAGAGGTGATTCGGATATGGTTTAAAAATTTGGAAGTGTAGAATGAAGGGGTTGAAGGTGCATGGTGAAACTCCCTAAGACTTTTAGAGATATTTTGATGGAGTTTTGTAATGAAAAGTTTTTTGGTTAGAACCAAACCATATAATAGGCCCAATTGATAATTCCAAACCTAACCAATCAAAAGTGATTAAATAGTCGTCATCGTCGCTACTTACTCTTTAGACTTATTCTTCTTGTATTTATGACTATTAAAATGGTTTGTATCT